AGATCCACAGACCTGCCGCTCTGGTTTTTGCCTTTAGGATCTCCTGCCTGCGCCACACGGCCGGTTCGCTCGGCCCTTCAGAGGTCGAGACTGTAGAGCGTTCCCCACGTGCAGAACTCCTGCCCCATTCCCCCTTGCAGCAATACCCGTGACCTGCTGTATCGGCCGGTTGAAAGGCAGCAACCTTTGATCCTGCTGCGTATAAACCACCCCGCCGAGCAGCAAACGCTGCCTCTCTAACGTTAAAGACCGACCCACATGACTCCTGCTCTACAAACCCTCCCTATGGCTCACACCGCACAGGCAGCGCCTCGCCCTGCTGAGCCCATTCGCTTGCTCACCGCAAATTGGGATTCTGGGGTTCTTCTGGGTGAGCTAAGGCGGGGAGAAACTTACCTTCTGTCGGGTGAAATGTTAATTCCATTGGCCGAATAAAACCCGGCTGCTACTTCTTTAACTTCTTTTGGACTGTAGTAAACAACGTTCGACCACGTTAAACCCAAGTACATCTCCAAGAACATCAAGATGAAGTCGGAGAAGTAGTGGTCGTTGGTAGCATAGAAGCTGTCTGGTCCCACAGCTACTATGTCATTCACGCTAAAAAATAAAATAAAATAAAAAGAGAAAGGAGAAAAATAAGGAAGAGAATGAGATAAGCACGAAGGAGCACTGTAGCACTGCCCAGAGTCCAGCCAGGACACAGCCATCCCTTAGACAGAAAGGGGCTGCCATTACAGATGGTACTTCAGGCAGACACCGGGTTATTTAGATCCTTTTTACTTCTATTTTCTTTTACATGAGCCAGGACTGTGCAGTGCTGAGCCCTGAGCAGGACCACGGGGCATCAGCTAGAGGTCTGGCTGCCTGTCCATGAGCCCATGGAAATTTTTCTCTCTTCTGGAAAGCAGCGAACAGGTAAGCGTTGTGACCGCTTCATCTATCAGGCTCCGCTTACCTTACAACCATAGGGCAGTAGGACAGACCAAGAAAATTTTGTATGGAAAAAAAAAGAGAAAGCTAAAAGTATGTTTATTTTTACAGTGTAGCAAATCCAGAATAATAGAATATCTGAAGATTCACATCTGCAGTGACCCGAGAGAAGGGGAAACGGACGCCAAGCTAATTCACTGGCATCCGTCACAGCGGCCCTTCAGACTGATTTAGCGCCACAACTATTAAATACTCATTTACAGAAGAGACTGGGGAAACACAGGTTTTGGTTACACAGATAAGAAGTCATCAATAAGAGGAAAGCTGGTTAAAGAGAAAAATATCTTATATTAATAATACCCCAAGCCCACAATCATCCCACTTTGGATTTTACCACAGCAGCCTGTTCTTCTGGGGGAAGGCGGTATTTGGCTCCGATACCTTGTCAGAAGGTCGTGTCGAATGGTTTTCAGGTGTACCAGGGAACTGTCATCTTCTACAAATCTGAACAATTCTACCGTGCTCTTCTGATGGGGATGGTTCACGACAAAGAGGTACACGGTGTCATCTTAAAAAAAAAAGAAATGGAAACAGCTGAATTCTGCACAAGTTTGCGTGGCGGAGCACCCCCCGCTCCGGAGCAGCCTCTAGTGCAGAGCACACGGTGGGTTTGGTGCGTTTGGAGGCAGAAGGACAAGTACCAAAGCGATGCAGGAGGCCACTGCAGCCGGAGCCACATCTCCAGCTGCTCTTCTGCCGGGCTGGCTCTGCAGGGAACTGCTGTGTAAACCCCATTTTTGCTATTTCTACCAAGGAAGAAAGAAATGACGGCTCCATCCTCGTGCCCAAGCCGCTGGGTTTTGCAATCTGACACACTATAGCGACGGGTTGTGAGAAACAGCCACAGCCAGCCAGGCAGGAGGGCTCGTAGCCCAGCCAGTTTGGGCTCTTCGGTTTATTTACTGCATCCCCTGAGAAAGGAGCGTCCTTCTCCTGGACGCTGCGTCGGGCTGCACTTCTGCCCGGCCCTGCTGGTGAGACCCTAAATCAGCCACGGCCGATTGCCCCAACGCCCTCCCTCAGAGGGTGACCGTATGGGGACGCAGGGCAGGCTGCAGCAGTGCTCCTCTGCCTCTTCGTGTTTGCAGACTTCTAGTTGCCCTGCTAAAAGTGAAAGGAGGGGGGGAAAGAGCAGAAGGAGGGCACGAGGCGTGTTTTACTGGTAGTCAGAGCCTGCCGTAGGAGAACATGTCTTGGAGAGGAAAGCATGGCTTGGCCACAGAGTACCGGAGATTTTGGTAATATACAGAGATTTGATAATTTGCTGTTTAGCCACAAAAGTCTCCGTTCTGGTCACTACCAGTCGGTGAAGCACGGGTCTCCTCAAAACCCTTGACCCCAGACAAACGTCAACTGGTAAAATGAACTTTGTGTGGGTTTTGACACAACAGTTTTCTTTCCTTTCGCTGTACAGGACATCCTTCTGTCTCAGGCAGCCCGCGATGCTGTGCAAAGGCGTTTGCTTTAGCAGCTGACATTTAGAAAAGAGCCCCGCAAAGATAAAAAGCCCCAAAACGTTTTTCTCTCCGAGCAAGCGCGGGTTATTGGGGGTGCAACGCAAGGCTGCGAAGGGATCGCTGTTTTGTGCTCTTTAGGCCGAGATTTGCCACCACCTCGAGCTGAAGATCTCTTTACCTCTGTCTATGTAGGTGCTGATTCCATGAGGGGTAAACGACGCCAGATCAAACCCTCGGCTGATTCTCAGTTCCACCGCTCTGGGATTGTCCTCGTTCAAGTCCATCAAAAATATTTCACCTGGCTTGTCCAGCGCAAGGCTCTTTATTCCCGGGTACTTCAAGCCCTGTAAAATCAAAACGTTAAGAAAAGTCCTTCCTGGATAACAGCTGAAGGGCCAAAACGCTGGAGCCTGGCTCGGGCTCGCAGGCACACGTCAGGCCGTCCCTCTGCTTCAGCCCGCCGTGCCGCCACGGGGCAGCGGGGCGGGGTCC